TCTAGACCTAACACCACTGCATATTGTCGTCGGTAGTTATGCCAATGCGACAATGATTAGAATGGTCATTGACGGAAACAGTACTGGGAGAATTTTCAGGTCAGGGGCTTGGAACACCCTCAAAAAGAAAATTCCACTTCTCCAACTCCCAGTGGATGACATACCAAGAATTTACAACTTTGAGAAACACCTCACTGTAGTATTGAGTAATAAAAAGGATTGGAAGAAAGAAACGCTTACTCAGCATATAAAAGACCATACCATCACGTGGTATACTGATGCTTCCAAAACCAAAGCAGGGACAGGGATAGGAGTATTTGGGCCGAAAACTGAATACTCCGAACCAATGGGCACCTACCCCAGTATCCTTCAGGCAGAAATTTGCGCTATCGAAAGATGCGTACAATTTATCTTGGATAGGAACTATCGAAAACAGGAAATTGCCATCCTATCCGATAGTCAAGCAGCACTTAACGCGATCAACTCAGTAACCATCAATTCGAAGTTGGTCAAAGAATGCCTAGAGAAGCTCAACAAATTAGGCAAAGAAAATAAAGTCCTCCTACTCTGGGTGCCTGCTCACCAAGGGATAGAAGGCAATGAAAAAGCAAATGATCTAGTAGGAAAGGAGCGAACACTCCACTAACTGGACCAGAACCGTTCTGTTTTCCAAACGGGAACCAACTGAAAGCGGAACTGAAGAATCTGGAAGACTCCATCCGTAACTTGGAATGGGTGTCCTCCAACGGTCTAAGACACTCGAAAAAGTTCCTTAGAACTTATGACCGAGAAAAATCAAAGGTTTTCCTTGATTTAAGTAAAAACAATCTTCGGATTGTCACGGGGTTTCTAACAGGACACTGTCTCCTCAACGAACACCTCAGTAGGCTGTAACTGAGAAACAACGGCAAATGCAGATTTTGTGGGGAAAATGGGGAAACACCAGAACACCTTATCACTGAGTGCGCCGAGACGACGACCATTCGTGCCATGAACCTTGGCACGTCTGATGTCGAGGATGGAGAGCTGGCCTCTGTGGAGCCGTCTCAGATACTGGCTTTTCTTAAAGCCCTGAGACTGTATGATGAGTTATAACTCGTTATAACTCAAGAAAGGGGAACACACAATAGATCTATAAGGTCGCGGTGATTAACTCCCCTTCTAAACATTCTACATTCTATTACGTTGGTCTTGTCTTATTATAATAAACGATGTTTATATACCGGGTGCGTCTCAAAAGTGGCTCACCCCTACAACTTTTTTATTTTTCCAGATAAAAAAACGAGATTTGTTATGTATATGACAGAAATTAGGATTGATTGACGTATTCAATTGTTTTTGGTCACTTCCTCATTCACCGGAAATAACTACAACTTTTGATTTTTAAATGGTACCCTCTGTATTCTTTTACTTTATTTGATAGAACATAGCATTTTGAATAGAATGATATACCATAATATTATGTCAACTTTTGTCATTTTTGCTTAATAAAAAATCGTGTTTTAAATTTCAATCTACGGTGTCATGGGTATGTTAAAAACGCTAATTTTCAATTAAGGAGTCTTGAAAAAATAGGTTGATAATCTAATGTTTTTAGTCTCTTGTCCTGACCGGTTAAAATATGCACAAATCGTAATGTTAATCATATCTCAATTTTTTCAAATGGAACCAGGGTGGCTCATTAGCATATTTAGAAAAATAATTTTTTTATGAATAATTTATTGATACCACACACTTGGTATTTGAGTCAAATTTTCGTTATGAACGGCATGTTACAATTTCAAATAACAATATGCGCAAATGTCAAAAGTTGACATATGATATGTCCATTCTATTCAAAGTGTTATTTTCTATCGAATAAAGTAGAAAAATACGGAGGGTGCCATTTAAAAATCAAAAGTTGCAATCATTTCCGATGAAACAGGAAGTGGCCGAAAGGAATGGAATATGTCAATTAATTCTAATTTATGTCATATACTAACCAATTTGCTTTTTTTAACTGAAAAAGTAATATACCAAATTTGTTTTTTTTAACTGAAATAGTAAAAAAGTTATAGGGGTGAGCCACTTTTTTGATGCACCCGGTATTTGACTTCTATTTTTTGTATTTATAGTAAAATGTTCCTATTAAGTTTTTTTACAAAGTAGAGCTTTGCATTCGGTTTGTTAATACTGCGTAAAAATAACTTTTAAGACAATTTTCATATTTAAAATGGTATAGTTTCAAGTGAAATTATATAAATGAGCGTATTTAAATTCAGACCCTCTCAATAGATGACGTCACTGACATAGAACCATTTTTTAGTAAACCTTTCTTTTTCTTGGTATATTATTTGGTTATTATTAACTTATCTATGATTATTAACTTTGATTAACGTCATATTTTTTTGGTGTTATAATTACTTAACTTCTTTAACAAATGTTAAAGAAATATAAAATTTATTTAGTTCAATGCTATGGAAAGGGTGCTAATAGCTATCAGAAAATGTAATACTTTAGCAACACCAAATAATATGAGATTAACCAAAATTAATAATAACCGTCTATGAAACAACGAAATCGAAAATATATATTACATAAAAACGCCTTCTGATTTTTAGGACTTCGACCATATTTTCACGTTTTTTTAATTTTCTCTCAAACGTTATGGAAATTTGGGAAAATATAAACGGGGTCCTAACCATTTTAGAAAAAGCTAGTTTTTTATAAAGAATGCAATTGACTGAATAATCAATATCAATGCAATGCCAATATAATCTTGTAAAGACAATCTGGGGACATACTGTATGTATTTATTATTCAATCAACATTATTCATTACTTATTCGACATTATTTATTCAAACTATATGTAATGGTTTCGGACTTGTTTTTTTTAACTTTCAAATCTGCTTTCGAAATTAATCTGATTTGAACTATATTCAACGTTTCATCGCATGATACAAAGAATACAAGGTATGATATTGCGCAGGTTGGTCACTACGTCACAGGTGATAAACGGCACGATTGGTCGGCAAGCTCCGCGCGCCAATTTTAAATTGTCAAACAGATGACACAATAAACGCGAAAATAATTTTTCAAATGTCAAGCTCCATAATTTGACATAACTTTTGGGGTTATGTCCTAATTCTTCCCTATTTTAGGTCTTTTTTTTATTAGTGGCAATTGAACAATATGGATATTTTTTTGTATGGCGTATGACGTCACAGGTGGTATGCGCAAACTTAACGAAATTGGAGCCGCTATCGATCATACCTTGTTTTCTTTGTACCATGGTTTCATCGTTTCAATCGTATAATAAACATTTTATTTCTTCAAGGCTTAGACAAGGAAAGAGAGGGGACGGCTAACACGCATATTCTCCCGTGATCGGTTTGTGAAGCCAAAATTCGATCGGCGGCCATACTTTGGTGACAAGATTTCGAGGTGACACCAAGCGAATTTTTATGTTTTTTGTGACAACTGTTTTGTTTTAAATTTATAAACTGTATTGTTTAGTATGGTGAGATGTTCAGCGTATGGCTGCAAAGGCCGAAGCGAGAAAAAAGTGGCTGGAATTACATTTCACAGGTAAAATTCGATACACAACTTTTGTTATGTGGTCATAAAATGTACATTTTTTCATTATAGCAGTAAAAATATGTAAAATGCTTTTAATATGTTTTGTACCACATCCAAACTAAACTATTTTTAATAATTCCAAGTAGTATTTTCAATATCCTTTATTATAATTAATGTTTGAAACTATAAATAATGCTACTCAGCATGGATTTCTCCAGTGGCGTAGGGAATTATAATAAGAGAAATAAAATTTCTGCAATAAACATTTTTTTATATATTTTACATGTAAAAAAATGTATTGTTATCAAATATGTAAAATAATTGTAAACTATAAAAAAAATTAAAAATTCTAGTGATAAAAAATCTATATGTATAGTTGTTATATAAAGCTTAAATTTACCTGCCAAGATTTGCTGGGGGTAGACAAACTGGTGGTGGGCTACTTGTTACTACATATATTTGTTTAAATATTCTGACAAAAAATTTGCTAATTTAGGTGTATACTAATAGTTTCAGTGAGTAATTAATAAAAATTTAAAAATAAATAAAATAACACAAAGCTTCTAGAATTGTTTATTTTTTTTGTGGAAAATTAGGATATTCTTATGATTGAAGGTAACAAATATTAAAAATTACATTATTCATTGAATCCGTACGCAAGTGTGAAGGGGAATGGCTAGATTCATTATTATACCGTATGGTCGAAAAAAACGACGTCCAGTTGGTTTGTAAATAACGATCGACGACATTCCCCATATAATTTTACATATAAAATGACAGCGATCTTCATTTCATAGCTATCGCTGACGCCATCTTTTTTCGATGTCGTTTTGTATAGTTTTTATGTCCTTTTATATGTAGAATTATATGGAGAATATCATCGATCGTAATTTACAAGCCAAATGGACGTCGTTTTTTTTTTCGATTATACGGTATAATAATGAATCTAGTCAATTCCCTTCACACTTGCTTACGGATTCAATGAATAATGTAATTTTTAATATTCATTTGTGAAATTGTCATTTTCAAACAAACAAGACGCCGTTTTTTTCGATCATACAGTAAACGTATATACACGTTTAAAAAATATGTTATTACATTATTTTTTATTTAATTATACATTATACACACGTTAATAAATAAATAAGTGTCTTGATAATCAGTCCACTGTGACTGTTAAATAAATTTTGCATTATCGACTTAGATATTCTAATATTATAAAGGTGAGACTATAAAATACAAAATTGTATATGCATTACTCAAAAATGAACGATATATTAGTTTACGTTTTAATAAATATTTTGTAATCCATTGGAGAATTTCGCGTGGTGACAACTTGCCTCACTTTTAGCTGCCGTGTTACCTGTCCCCTCTCTTTCCTTGTCTAAGCTTCAAGGAATATTTTAGAATATAAAATAAAGGATTAGAGGAAAAATAAATATCAGCTTTTACATATTTATTTCTTGAATTTTTCAATTACAAGTGATACTAAACTAAATATTCGTAATTTAGTACAAATATACACAATAATGAAATATGAATACAGAAAATAAGGGTATAAAATCAAATTAAGAGTATATGGCACATAAAATAAAGTTATCTATTAATGATAAAGGACCAAATGAAATGAAAAACTACAAAAATGAGAATTAATCTATAAATACAATATCGGTCGATCGTTCGATACAAAAACTTTGGTAGACAATCAATATATACAAAACATTTACGTCTGCCTCAATATATACAAATAAATAAAAGTAGCGCTAAACATTACAACCCAAACAAAAATCAGTGTTTATATTTTCAGAAATATACAATAATAAAAAAGGCCACTGTCACATTTTGCATTAGCATTTTGCGTTTTCTTAGGATATACAATACTTATCTCAACAAATAATAAACATTCCGACAATTTTAATAATAGCACTATTATTAGTAGCAAAGTCGATGCCCCATATCAAAGTTTACAAGAAATCTGTAAACTTAGCCTTATGGCGAATTTCACGAAAGGCTTAGGTTTCATTTAAGGACTGGAATTTCATAGAATCCGAGAGAATTTTGTCTTCAAATTTCGCTATTTACTTACTAGTTTTATACTCTAGCTTCATTTATATACATAACACATAGACAAGTAAATCTATAATAAGCTACATAACCGTTATCACAATTTTAACAAATATGCGGAGCTAAATCACTGCCTAAAAACATGTTACGAATGTTAGTGGGAAAACAAGAAATGTTAAAAGGTAGGAAAGAAGATCAAGCTATTGATTGGATCCTTAGGTATTAATTTGTAATACTAGGACCACACAGCTCAAATTCTGTGCATAATGAATATAACAAAACACTTTAAAGTCGAATTCTGTGATTTCGCTGTGATATCAAGAAGTCGAATTTTAAAATAAACTTTTTACCTGAAAGAAAAATGTGCAAGCTTTCACAACAAAACTTTAAATATGTTCCTATTTAAAAATTCTAGTAAAAGCACGAGTATAAGAAATTTTAAATCATAACTTAAATAAAATTTAATGTACTGCACCGACTTATTACAAGCTATACAATCTGATGTCATTTAATTCTATATTTATTTAAGGTAATATCGTATTACAGCATATTAAATTTTAAAACATATGAAAATTTAAACTGACAGTTAAATAGGAATGGAATGTATGGAAGGCATGTTAGTTCAAACAGTATTTTCACATGTGAGTATAAATTAAAATTTCCATACTAACAGTAATATTTATAATAGAACCCAACCACCACTTTAAGATGTTAGTAATATTTTAGGCTGTAATATTAGCTACACCCATTGAAGCCTTTTATAAAAGCGATAACTATTTTCTATACGATATTATTAATTTGAGGTATCTAAGTACTATATATACTTACTAATACTTATATGCACTAAGAGGTAAAGATTATTTTAAACAATCTTAATTATAATTTCATAAATTATTAGAATTTATCTATTCAGGATATTAAATTTATATTTCTTAAACATTAAATGTTTTTAAATGATGTTAAAACTCATTGCGTCTGTTTTTATGTTCTAAATATTCTTCTTATTATTTATGTTGTTCTAAATATTCTAATGTATATTTTTGTAATTTAAATAGCAGTAATGGAGTAAAATCGTTATTTTACTTTAAAAATATATTTATTTAATGTAAATAAGTTAATATTTGGGCTGTAGAATAGAATAATTCAGTAATATTCAATAAATATGACAAATAATTTATTAAGCTATTAAGTTGCCCTTTACCTTTATATCATTGATTTAATCATTTACTTTATAATTTCAGGCCCATTAAAAATTCTTAGAAAGTAGTAACGTATGATATCGAAAATGTCAATTCATCAAAATCTTTTAAGTAATATTCATATTAGGTATACTTAGTTAAAGATAGCTAGATTAGCAAAGAGACATAGCGGTTTAACAGTAACTGACTAGAGAACTAATAAAAACTGACAAGAACAAAAATTAATATTAAAATTTTAAAATCAGATACTATCATTTGAAATAACAGAATTATAAAAATTGTCATTCAAATATAAGTGAAATATAAATGACATAAACATTCAATTCCTATAAAAAAATTACCAGTCCTTAAAGTCATCATACACTTATATAGGGCATTTTATTATAAACTTGCTTACAGTTTTATACCGTAAATATTTCTCTTGAAGTACTTAATATTATTGGAGCATACCGTCTATTTAAAATATTTTCATATTGGTGATTTAATTGGGATACTACTATAGCATAGTATAGATATATAATTACTATATGCACGATATTAAAATATTTTAAAGTTTTATCTCTAGAATTATTCCATTTTTACCATTTTAACACAATTAAAATACTGGAAATCATATAAGCATTATTTTAAGGAGTAAAATTAATATTTCTTGAAAATTCCTGTTAAAATGATAATGCTATTATAATTTTGTATATATATCAACTAAATATTCAGTTGAAATTTAATGAACTGTGTGTCAAAATCGTCCATTATCAATAATCACAGCTGACTTAGGTACCAGTCCTTTTTGCGTGCCTCTGCAGCATAAGAGCCACTTATCATCCACTTCCAAGACCACCTTCAATCTTTCCCCTTCGTTATATGATAAATGGCCACTTTCTGAAGGCAGCCTATGACTTACAGTTCGTACAACCCTAAAATATAAATATACCATTAGATAAATATATTGCAAATTGTAATAAATATATACATATATATAATGAAACAAAATGACATTTGTTAGACTCACTAAAACTCGAGAACTGTTATATTTAATAAAAACAACAATAGAGAACAAACAACCGACCGGAGGTGGGCCTGTGGTCTAGGCGACCGCTTCCCATTTACAATCGAGAGATCTTGGGTTCGAATCCCGCAAAATTCTAAACATTTTTTTTAATATATTCGGATATGCCTTTTTCTTTCTTCTCAAGATTATTTCTGTAATATTGTGTTAAAAAGGCTGTTTAATTTCCTTTAGGTATTATTAGGGAAAATATTATTTAAAGTTAATAAGAATTTTGCGGTTAGTTACGAAATGAAGATTAATATTATTTATTGTTAATGATTGATTATTAGTAAAGGTTAATATTCGTTTAGATTGTTAATATTAATTATTGTTAACGAATGATAGGATCACTAATGGGGCAAATAATTAACAAGTAAACATCGATTTTATGAAATGTTCTTTTTCGTTCCATTAAATTTACCTATGAAATTGAGAACAACGATATATATTAGTTATTAGAAATAATACTAATTGCCTGGAATTTGTTATATACAGAAATAATACCACTACATGCAGATATCTGAGATATAGAATATATATTCCTAATGAGTGATACCTTAGTAATGGTAAATAAAATGACTAGGTTAAATTTCTTAGTACAAAGTTTTCAACGAAAGATATGAAATAGAAAGAAATTGCATTAGGAATCTAGCTGAGTGTAATGGATATGCTTCTTCGTTCGTTGATAATATAATTAGAAAACGTAGATATAAGTTTGCGACCCCCCACCTCCTCACCGCCGGATCCGCCACTGAATGTTAAGATAGTATGAACCTTAGGTATGAACAGAGACAATAGCCCAATTCCTTCCAGTTCTCTGTTCCTACTACTCTAGTTTCGAAAATTAATTGACTCGCTTGACTAGTTTTTGCCAGCGCCTACTCGGAGCCAACTGTGCGAGTATATAAACGCTCAATTTGTAAATATTAGTTTAGTTTCAATCATCGGCTGATGATGCTAACTTGGTTAGCGAAACGCGCGTCCAGTGTAAAAGCACAGAATATCAAGCTACGCAACAGAAGCCTCGTTACATGTATAAAATCGTAGGTCTCAAAATCAGATATTTTGATGCGGTAGTTTCACTACTACATAACAGAGGGCGATAAATATAAAAGAAAACAGTTTTCTACAAACCAAATTTAAAAGAATTTTATGCAATGTTGCCATTGTGTAATTTATATTGTAATACTTCCTGATAAAGCCTACCTTCAAATTTGCTACATCATTTAAACATATTAAAATAGATTAGAGCTCTTTTTTCAAACGTTTAAGTATTTAACTTGCCATGTTAGTTGGAGTTAAATCTTACGAGCTGAATTAAAATCACTTCCTGACGTTTGATTCTAACTGAATCCTGAATTTTGATTGTAATTCGGCGACAATATAACAAGTATTGTTCTACTATTATGACACCACTTCCTGACGTTCGATTGTGTTCATACCGTATGATCGGGAAAAAACGGCGTTAGCGATGGCTATGAAATGAAAATCGCTGTCATTTTATGTGTAAATTTATATGGGAAATGTCATCGATCATCTTTTCCCAGCCAACTGGACGCCGTTTTTTTCGGTATCATACGGTATTTGATATATACTTGCGTATTTTTCATGACATTGCAATATTATGGTACCATGAAGCATATCAAGTAATACCGTAATATAGTACCATATTACGATACATGGCGTTCGATTGGGCTTAAACTTGGTATATTACGTATCTTCAGTGACATTGTAATATTATGGTACCATGAAGCATATCAAGAGGTACCATAATAGTACCATATACGATACCATTTCCTGGCGTTCGATTGGGCTTAACTTGGTATAGTAAGTATCTTCGGTGACATTGTAATATGATGGTACTATGATGCATCTACTATGATGCATCTACTATGATGCATATATAAAGTGGTACCTTAAGATAGTACCATATTACGATACCACTCCCTGACGTTCGATTAGGCTCATATTTGATTATACTTGCGTATTTTTGATGACATTGCAATATTATGCTACCATGAAGCATATCAAGGGGTACCATAATGTAGTACCATATTACGATACCATTTCCTGGCGTTCAATTGGGCCCAAATTTGATATATTTGTGTTGTGACAGCAACTTTTATGCCGAACTAATATATTATTAATTGTACCTGTGTCACTTTTTAAAATCTACCTAGGCCTATATAAATAACGTGGCAAACAGAAAAAAAAAATTATTATAGTATTTTTTAGACAATTAACATTTTTTGTACTGCATTTTAATAAATCATTTCCATTATTATTAAACGTATATTTCATTACTAACGTTTCAGCATTAATGAATATCACTATCAATGGCCCTGTAATTAAAGTTATTTTCTTAGTTAACATAATAAAGTAGTGTATATTAAAAATGTATTTTGAGAGCATATGTTTTCTAATAATATACTTAAAATTAAAACTATTTTAAAAGCCAAACGAATAATTAATATAAGTGTATCTGACAAGAAACGAAGAATAGAAAGAAATTATTATACACTAGAAAAAGAATGGGATGCCAATTAAAGTCTGTTTGAATCTGGCAACTGTGCATATTTAGCCGAGCTTTAAGGCCGTCGACGTACCGTCGTTCTACGTCGATCCAAAAGCGAAAGTTGAAAATTTCCAATTATATTCTGATTATGATATTGTCGCGCCATCTAGTATTTTATTTGTGCAATTTTAGCTCTTTCATTTCGAGTATTTTTCTGTTGCTTAGCTAGATATTCTGTGGTAAAAGTAAAGGTGTATTGTGGTGATAGTGTTTTATGTTGTAACACCAAAGGTTTCATCCCCCGTCTGTAAAAATGCATATATAGGGCGAGTCTTAAATAAGTGCAAATATTTAAAGGGTAGTATATTTCGACCTCAGAAAACCGATTATGAAGTTTTTTTCCCGAAAAATTTTGAATTTTTTAAAACATTTTCTGGGAATTGTTTTAGTTTTTAGTTAAAAATCATAATAACTTGATAATATGGCAATACAAGTAGTAGCTTAAATTTACAAGAAAGAAAATCCAGAAAAGATCCATTGGTCCTCAAAATTTTAGTAAAAATTTTTTTTTGGAAATTTCCAAAGTAAAATAACTTTATTATTTTGGATTTATTTGAAAAACGGTAAAGAGAAAATACGTTTCATTTATCGAGATCTACCAGCCCTGAAAATATTTGCACTTATTTAAATAAAATAAAAAAAATAATAAAAATAATGTCGGATTAGTTACACCATTTTTAACTCAAGAACGGCTAGACGGATTTTAATGATCTCTAATTTGTTGAATTTTCTCCACTCCGAATAGCAGAATAAAAGAGCCAACAAATTATTATTTCTATACAGGAACAGCTTATTACACACGGTAAACATAATATCGGGAACATATATTTAGTTATTGGTGAATTCTTCATCTCTTGTACCATACGATCGAAAAAAATACGCCAGAGTTGGCTTGTAGAGCGCTATCATTATATATGAAAAGTTATTTTATGGTGAAGTCATCGATCGTCATATCAGACAACCAAAGGCGTTTTTTCGATCATACAGTATATTCCAATGGTACACATCGAAATTATTGCATTGCTGATATTAGTGGTGCACAAATACTACTGTTAAATTTTACATTACATATCACACCTTACATATCGGTTGTTTATTTATGGAACACATTTCTCGACCGCTTTCATTACTGTCTACAGAAAACTGTAAAAAAGCAATAATATATAAATTTTATGTTTCAGTACTCATTCAGTAAAAATATCAAAAAGTTCGTTAAAGGCCGTTCTGAATTCTATAAATATGACATTTTAATTGAAAAGTAAATTATTTTTTTATCAAATATTCAATGACTATTGAAGTCATCTCTTCTCTCCTGAACACAAGTAACCATGATATTCGTTTTGTTTCTAATATAATGCAAAATTAGCTTCGTTATTCAAAATTACAATATTAATACTTTTCTCAAAATCACAAACCTATAAAAAAGCGGTGGTCGAACCTCATTCGTACAGTAACTTCATTTATTTAAAAAAGCGTAATTATTATTTCTTCACAATCGACCGCCATCTTACAGACGGAAATGTCAAACCACCGCACGTATCTATCTATTTATAATTCAGAAAACATATGAATATTTTATCATATTCATAATTTTCCTACAGCTGAAAAAGGTATCCAATATTTTCTATATACGTATAACTACAGTATAACCCATTTATTTCCCTTAATATACTTAATGTAATCCCTAAAAGTGATATTTTACTAAATAAACCAAACAAGTTTATTGAGAAAGAGTCGATTGCGATATATGACATAAAAATTTGACAGGAAATATAATTTACTTTTGAGTTATAATAGAAAATAAGAAATAATGTCATTGTCATAACCCATGTTATAACCTAACCGAGAAGAGAATAGCGTGTCAACTTTTATTTTGGTCGTATGGTACCATGGTACATATTATAGGATATTATATGCAATTATGTGTACTATACTAAAAAAACTGATTTTAGAATTAACTCCAAGTGATATTTTAAATGTAAATTGAAAAGGCAAAAAATCTAATGCAAGTTTTATATTGACTTTAAAATTTGTTCTTCTGGCCTTTTTAAACCTTAAAATATACAGGGTTGATCCCTAATGACATACTAATAATTAAGGTGGTAATTCCTGGACCTATACTAAGAAAAAAAATGAATGTACGTGTTGTAGAACGTAAATAAATGGAACAAAAAATAGTTATTTTTTATACAAGACGATAAAATGGTATTTTAATATTCTATAACTTTAAAATTATATCTATTTACTGCGTACTGTTCTAAAATTGTCCATGTATATTCTTTTTGTAATTTTAAAGACTTAAATTTTTTTGAATTGTATTATTTGTATTGTGTATTATTTGTTGTTTGTATTTTTTTGTGATTTTGTTGTTTGTGAGTGCTTTATCGATGAAGCTGTTTTGGCTTTTTGCACAATAAAGCGTTGTTTGTTTTGTTTGTTTATTTTATCGTCAACCGAAAAGATTAATTCACGAGCGATGAAATCGGGAGTGAATTAATTTCGGGAGACGATAATGCAATTTTATCGTCGTGTATAAAAAAAATATTTTTTTCCAAAGCGAGTTACGTTTTAAGAAATATTCAGAAATTATTATTTCAAGGAATTTATTACGAGTAGAAAAAATATTGTGCTGGATTGGCGTTGGTTTCTATGTAATTAACAAATAAAGCTGTCTCTTTTTTCAGTTTTGAGTCAATATTTTTTAATTCTCTTTCTTGTCGATTACTGATTGAATTGGAGCCAGAAATGGCTCAAACGAAAAAAGTAAATTACCAAGTTAAATATTCAGGCTGAGGCGACAAACGCCATATCCAAACTACTTCCATTTAAATCCCGAATAGCTTATGGAAAGGAATACAAAAATTTTCAAAAATGGCAGCAATTAAAAAACGTGCGAGAAGAAATAAAGTTTTCAACCTATCCTCGCTGTTAAAGTATCATTTAATCTACACTTGCGGTTAAAGTACTATTTTATCTACTATTTTTGATAGATCTAAGCAACTTTAACAGTTGCTATGGAAAAAAGTTAATGTTTATTGTTATAATAAACAACACTTGAAATACAGAATTTATAATAGAAAAGTGGTTTCTTGATAAACTTAACTATCCCCCAACTCTTACTCTAGACTATTAACACAAATAGAGACTGTATAACTGTCTAAACTAGGACTATCTGAACTTAGAGATACAGTATTACTTGTGGTAGTTAGGCATTAATATGTAGATTTTCCATTGTATATTCTACATATAATACATCTAAACATCTTAACTTTTGAGATACAGGGTGGTAAAATATTGTAAAATTAACACAACTATTCATAATAACCACAGACTAGCTTAGTCTGTGTAATGTGTAATAACTAACTATGTTATATTTTTGCAGATATTTTTATGAAATTTGATTCACGTCTTCTATGCATTAAAATGTACCGTATGATCGAAAAAAAACGGCGTCAGCGATGGCTATGGAATGAAGATCGCTGTCATTTTATATGTAAATTTTTATGGGAAATGTCATTATGTTCATTTCCCAGCCAACTGGACGCCGTTTTTTTCGATCATACGGTATTTTCGATGAACAAAAATTTGTCTTCACATATCTCTTAATTTGCCTCCAGTAAATGCAGAAAGGATTTACATCCAGTGACCGCATCAGATGTTTTTAAGGAAAACACATGCGTCGAACAAAAGAAAAGGATATGATCAAAGATATCGAGTTTAAATATCTTTGGAAAGGATAAAAATTATTTAGAAATAAATACAGATTTTGAAAATAATTTTAATTTTAAGCGAAGTCCATGGGGCATAATTTTTCTCCAAAAATATTCAATGTAAACTCCGTATGGACACTAGTTAGAATTATTTGTAGGTACATCAAAATATACATTTTGATGCATGGAAGATATGTTTCAAATTTTACAAAGATATCTGTGATATAGCAACAGAGTTATGTTTTTTTTAATTTTACCTCCCTGTATTTCAAAAGTTAAGATATTTAGGACATACATGCATATGAAGTGTTTTCTTAGAATAGGTCCAAGGATCACTTCCCTAATTATTAGCATGTTATTAAGGAACACCCTGGATATCTATTATAATCTATCTTGCAACTTACTTTGGCGTCACACTCTTTGGATTTTCTCCTAGAGATTTCCTATTTAATGAACTAGATGCTGCTCTTCTTGGAACCACTGGTTTGGATGATTTATTATTTTGACAAGTTGGTTTGTAAGGTAGACTACTTGGCCTAGGAATGTGTTTTATTTGTTCGTTTTCAACCTGATCAACGCGACTCGCTCTGTAATACATTCATAAATTATTGATCAAAATTATATTTTAAATTAGCAGCTTTTTAAAAGGTTTAAAATTTTAAATATATTTAAATTTACCTTGGTGTGCTGTTTTTGACAGGTGAATTTTTAATAGTATTAATTCCTTTTACACCAGGTATGCTTTTATTAGCTTGAGAACAAGTAATTTTTTTATGAGAAACTAAAACTGGTATTCCTGATGGCTTTACTGGTGAAGTTATAGGTCTGAAAATTCAATGTGTAAATTCATTTTACATAAAATAAACACCACAATACCTAGGTATTTTTGATTTATTTGCGTGGGTTGGACTTGATGGAGGAGAATCTCTTTCTTCAGAATCCCTACCACTTAACATTTCCCACCTTTGTTGTAATTTCTTAAATCTTTTACCATTTAAAGGTTTTTCATCGGAAAAATTGGAATCTAATGATTCTGGTTCACAAGTACGGTTTTCTTTTGCTTCATTTCTTTCAAGTTCAGTCTTCTTTGAAGAAGGCGGTGTTTCTAAGCTGTCCACGTAATCTTCGTCTTCTTTCGCCAGTCGATCATACACTTGATATAGCTTTGAGTTTAGGGCAATGCCAGACCACCTAGAAGATTGAAAACTTCAACTCTACACCAAAATAAAACACTAAATCATTAATCAATTAAAACTGATATGTGTATAGGCAATAGGGGGCTAATATAGGAGCATATCTGTCTAAATGGCAGCTTCATATTGTGGTGATTTAGTGTTTTATTTTGCTGTTGTAACACCAAAGGTTTCAACCCCCAACTGTAATTTTTGACATATACATATGTTTCGCATTGTTAGGCCTTTTTCAAGAGTTTCTTAAAACTGATTTTTTTAACAGTTTTAAGAAACTCTTGAAAAAGGCCTGACAATGCGAAACATATATGTAGAGTTAAAGTTACTCTTACTAAATTTTGATACATCTAAAAGCGTGTTTTATTAAAATACTAATATAAAACAGCCGCTACACTATCCCCGAAATGTTTTACGAAATATTTCTGAAATAAAACCCAGATTAACCGAGATTAACAATAAAAAACAAACAACCAATCGCGGCGCGTCTTGATTAATTTCAGGAAACGTGGAAACTAATTTTTATAACACGGGCTTATAATTATCGTTCTATTTTGTGAAATAGCACAAAGCAATAAAGGTCAAACGTTGTGGTGGCTTCAGAATAAGTAAACATGGAAAAACTGATATGAAAACAGTTACCGATGGTAAATTAAATTGGCTATTGCTCGAAGGTTACACAAGAATATTTAGTTTTAATCATTGTCTAATATTATTAATTACAATATAGTAAAAAAATGTAAAACAGTGACAGGCTTATAATCCACGGTATTGCGCCTAATGGACAAAATATACACAAAATTATTTAAAAAATCGTCTAATTATTTATTATTTCTGGTTATGGTAAAGTAACATTTATACTGTAGTCTGTAGCAAAGTTTAGTTTATGAATTTGGTTTTATTTTTCTAGTTTTAATTGTCTAAATCAATACATAATAAATACTAGTTGAATGGATTTATATCAAACCACAGAGAAAATATCGTTTACAGATTTCTCTTAAGAACAATAAAAGAACATCGCTTTTAATTAATGTCCGTGGACCATACTTTTGTTGACATATGGTCAATTAATAATTTTCCCAAGCGGATATATTGACAATGTTACCAGTATTACTCATCAAGCAATACTACTCATATTAATCAATTAAGGCCGTAAACAAACATATCATATACAATTTTATATACTAATTCATTATAACAAAATTAAATCATAAAAATATAGTAATTCTATTTCTGCAGTTTAAGTGAAAAGTTTTGTTCCTGAATATCTACTATACATATAATAAACGCGTGCTGAAATATTAATTCTGTGGAATATATATATCAATACTCGTATCAATATAACATAAAACGAGATGTAATTAACGAAATATCATCGTAACAACAGCTATTTTAGAAACGTCTAGGTTTACTTATTTCACTGAGATTTATGAAAAAAAATCCTTTGCCTCCGATACAGATACCGCCACGTTTTGGAAATAGCTCAAAACAAAATAAAATTGAACGAGGCAACAAAAACGCCAAAAAATCCCCCCTCGCACTCTTCACGAGAAGTTTTCAGGTGCTTTAAAAATCGAAAGTAGGTCGAGGCAAACCGAAGTGGGCCAAGACAACTGGAAATAAATCGAAATGCATGAAAGTTGGGCGACGAAATGCCACCTTGACATGTTTCGGGTTGTTTCTGGCATAGTGTGTAGGCTGTTTAAGATTTTAAATATTATGTAATAATGATAATGGATATCAATGCTACTTAATCAGTTGTAAATTATACCTTTTTTTTGCTACCATATTAACATCTTCGCCTAGTTTAAAATTCGGCGCATTTGTTAATATTCCGTCTTCTATGCAACTTCTGGGTCGTTCTTTTTCCATCTTATGCTTTTCCGAATTATCCGAACTTAATATATCTTTATGACAGGCACTGTAGAAATTATTTTTAACTGTTGTTGCTGTTGATATGTCGTCTGATTCAGAATTTGAACGGCTGTGAGGCGAGACGCTAAGTCCATATTTTGTGGATAAGAACTGTTTGTAATTTGGAGAAGACGCATGCTACAAACAATGTCAATTACATATATATGAAGTATGATAAATAAAAAAACACTAATTACCTTATGTGTTGGACTAACCAGTTGATGGAAAGAATCCATTCTTTTGAAACTTAAATGTAGCTGTTTATATTCAAAAAGCAGATCAAACTGAAATGGTAGAAAAGCAAGAGGCTGTAGAGCAGCTATCATGGCATCCAACATGTTCCTTAAATTTGCTCCTCCAGTATGTGATAAAACCAACAAAGAATCAGCTGTATAATGTTTCTTTAAGATACTTTCTCTTGTTTTTAAATAGCTTGTCCAAGCATCCAACGATCTTACATTTAATAGTCCAAAAATAAAAGCATTAAATTTTACCAATCCTTCACTAATAACATCTTCACTATTAATTTTCATAACAAGATCATTTAATGCCTTTGTTAATGGTCCCTGTTGTGCAGAAGCTTCTACAACCTGCCATACTGAATTGTTTATTGCCCCAAAACTTGTGTCTAGGAAAGGCTTTAAGCCATCACTTAATACAGCATACAGGGCAGGGCATAAAGTGGTTAGAGCCAGTTTTGCGCATGCTGGATTTACACTAGAGTCTCCTATAAGATGAATAAAATACCTGTTTACTATTTTATTGTTTATAAGAAATTCAGGGTGGGCCGGAACTGTAGTCCGGAAATTTCGGCAGCACATTCTGCAGATAAAAATAAGTAAAAAACTTCGTGTAAATGTATGTCCTAAAATTCTTAGTTTCGGAGATACAGGGTGTAGTAATTTCATTATTTATTTCGATTTTTTTCCAAATAATTTCTGAAGTAACGTCGATATTTGGATGGAAATTGGTGTCTGGGAGTTTTTTGACATAAGAAATTTGGATTTAGATGTCAATTTTTTTGACTCTTATTTGTGGGGGGCGTTACCTACATGTGTTCTAACAGTTTTGAAGAGTAACTTTTCGTCCGTACCTGTATAAATCTACTGAGTGAAAAAAATATACATTTCCGTGAATCGCTACGAGCGACCGTCCTCAAGATATATAGAATGAAAATAGACAATACACTTGTCATTATTGATAAAAAATAAACATGTTGAGTAGATAGTTATTTGACTGAATGATAAATTTGGGAACTTTTTATTTTTTTAAATTAATATCATAAAGTTTTCTTTGAAAAAATGTTGATAAAACAGTTTCTGTTAAACCTTTGACACAAAAACATTTCAAATTTATGATTTCAGTCTAATAACTGTGTTAAATAACTAGGTTAATTTAGTTAACATATGTTTAATTTATGTCAATGGTGACATGTATTGATAATTTCGATTCCATATATCTCGAGAACTGGATATGGAGAAACAACTGGATATAACATATAACATATGGAGAAATAAACTGGAAATATTATTCGTAGCGATTTTTACCAAGAGACCTTTTTTACGTAAAAAACGCCCTAAATGTAGTGGCAGTTTTTACTGAGTACTTTTATACAGGTACGGACAAAATTTAATTAATTTTCAAACCAGAAGAATTATTAATTTTCAAACCAGCTAAAATATATGTAGGTGGTCCCCTCTACAAGTAGGAGTCACATTGACATCAGAATCAAATCATGTCAAATCTCATGTCAGAAGACTCCCAGACAGACACCAATTTTCATCCAAATATTGACATTACTTCAGAAATTATTTGGGAAATCGAAATAAAAGTAAAACTTCTACACCCTGTATCTCTGAAACTAAGCATTTTAGGACATACATTTATACGAACTGTTTTAGTTATTTTTATCTGCAGAATATGCTGCCGAAGATTCCCGGATACAGCACGGATCACCCTGTATAGTCCGTCCGGAAATAGAATATAATAGCTTACTTCGGGTTTTTCTTATTGCCGATTCTGAACAGTCCTAGAACTGTGATACGCATGCGCAGAAGGAAATACGGAGAAATTATTTCATTAGCGCATGCGCGGCAGAGTTCTAAGTTAGTTCAGAATCGGTAAGAATAAGAACCCGAACAAAGCTAATATGATTACAAGTTAACATCCAAAAATATTATGATTACCTCCAAAAATTGTCAGAAAACAAAGTAATATGACATAATACAGGGTGGCCCATCGAAAACGTTCCGCAAGGCATAACGGCCAGGGTAATTTTTTTTCAGAAAATCCAAAAACACGTCAATTTTGTTTGTGAGGGGGACAACTTTTGCTCCAAAAATGATTGTAAAATCTTCAATCTTCTAAATGGGGGTGTCATCCCCCAATTTTTTTCAAATAGGAAGGGGGCAAGTGGTACCGCAATGAAAAGGGCTTCCTATTCTCTATACTTTCCCGTTTTGTTTTTGAAAATCGGTCGAGTCGTTGGGAAAATATGAAGGATTGAAATTTGAAAAGTTTATTTAAACATTTACCAGAGTAAATGATAAGGATAAATTCTTCTACCAATTTGGTGTTTTTTCTTATTATTTCTAGATATTTACGCATTTTTTCACTTGCCACAAGGTTGAACGATCAGATGCGGTAGTTGCTGGATAACTGTTCTGTGACTTATGCGTTGAAGTTCTTCTCGATATCGTTAAACTTTTTAACCATTATGGTGTACTCACTTACAGAAAAAGTGGAAATAATCGAACTTTATTTTAAAAATAATGAATGTGGCAATCGGGTTGCGCAGATATTCAATGAACGCCATCCTGACAACACCTTTATGGCGAAATTGTTCGCAAGTTAGTAGCAAAATTTCGCAAAACTGGTTCCGTTATGAATAAAAAGAGGCAGAGGGAAAATCCTGTATCCTGTAGTAAATGAAGCTATGGAGGTATTCGTATTGGGCCAAGTTACCATGGATTGTACGCTGAGTACAAGAAAATTAGCCAATGAGACCGGCCTGAATCGTACAAGTGTCCAAAGGATATTAAAAAATACAACTTCCACCCGTACAAAATTCAGATGGTACAAGAACTCAACGAAGACGATTTTGATCGTCGCTTGCAATTTTGTGAAACTATGAGTGAACGAGTGGAGAATGATAATAATTTCCTATTCAAGGTGTGTTTTTTCGGATGAGTGTACTTTCTGTTTGAACGGTGTCGTTAATCGGCACACTTACAACTGTCGGTACTGGGCTGAGGACAACCCCAGTGTTTTTCACGAGGTGCACACACAAAATCCTCAGAAATTGATCGTGTAGGCTGGTATTTTTGGAAATTCTCTTGTGGGTCACTTTAACGATATTGAAAAGAACTTCAACGCACAAGTCACAGAACAGCTATCTAGCAACTACCGCACCTGATCGTTCAACCTTGTGGCAAGTGAAAAAATGCGTAAACATCTAGAAATAATAAAAAAAACTCAAATTGGTCAAAGGAATTTATCCTTATCATTTACTCGGATAAATGTTTAAATAAACTTTTCAAATTTCAATCCTTCATATTTTCTCAATGACTCGACTGATTTTCAAAAACGAGGCGGGGAAATATAGAGAATAGAAAGCTCTTTTCATTGCGGTGCCACTTGACCCCCTTTCCATTTGAAAAAAATTGGGGGATGACACCCCCGCTTAGGGGGTTGAATATTTTGCAATCATTTTTGGGGCAAAAGTTGTCCCCCTTACAAACAAAATTAACGTATTTTTGGATTTTTTGAAAAAAAAGTACCTTAGCCGTTATGCCTTGCGGAACGTTTTCGATGGGCCACCCTGTATACTTTCTCTGGATAGACTAGATAAATACTGAAGTAAAGAAAAATAAAATAAATAGTATTAATTATCTGCACATACCTAAAGTATTCAGTTCCTGTTGATTTGAAGCTAGTGAAAAATATTGCATAACTTGATCAACTGCTTCCATAACACCATTTATTAGAGATCTTTTTTGGACATAGTTGTCTGATGGTGCTTTACACAGATGAATTGGTGTAGTTTGGGGACTAGAATAATTTGGACTATTTTCATTTTCTTCGCAAATAGTCATGTCAGCTATAACTTTAGGTTGGAAGTTCTTCTGCAGTAAGAGGGCAGAAACATTAGGTGAATTGTTAGGAGGAATAAAATGTTTTGTATCAAAGTGTTTAGGTGCCACATTGATATTTTCAGCGAAGCTGACGCTTTTCTTTCCTCCGAAATGATCCGCTCCATCTTGATTAATTTTTAAGGATAAGAATTTACTAACATAGGATTTTAAATGAGTCAGACTCTCCTCGGCTTTTTCTTCTTCTGATGATGAAAATCCGCTGAGTTTTAAAAACTCCTCTAGCTGTATTAGTTCATCCATAGATATATTTTGAAGAAGATAATCAGGTTTGTTTGAAAATGACTCCGGATGTTCGTCTAAGCTGCTACTGGAAGTACCTGCATCAACTCCTTCATCTTCGGTTTCGGAAAATCTTTTGTTTCTTGTTAAGTAATATGTATCCGGTAATGATTTCCTTTTCGATGATATCTAAAATATCGATTTTAATTTTTTAGAAATATTAATTTAAGATTTTAGAAATATCTCTGGTGACAGCTAAATCATTGCCCAACCTTTATAGAAAAATGTTTAAAAAGGAAGGGTAATCCCAAAATTATTAAATCAATTAGTCAATATTAAACTTGAAATTAAACCGCTTTATAGCGAAAAAAAAAGCTTTTGAAAGCGGAAACCAACTGAAAGCGGAACTGAAGAATCTGGAACTCCATCGGTAACCTGGAATGGGTGTCCTCCAACGGTCTAAGACACTCGAAAAAGTTCCTCAGAACTTACGACCGAGAAAAATCAAAGATTTTCCTTGATTTAAGTAAAAAAAAAAAATTCGGATTGTCATGGGGTTTCTAACAGGACAATCTCTCCTCAACGCACATCTCAGTAGGCGGAAGCTGAGAAACAACGGCAAATGCAGATTCTGTGGGGAAAATAGGGAAACACAAGAACACCTTATCACTGAGTGCGCCGAGACGACGACCGTTCGTGCCATGAACTTTGGTACGGCTGATGTAGAGGATGGAGAGCTGGCCTCTGTGGAGCCGTCTCAGATACTGGCTTTTGTTAAAACCCTGAGACTGTATGGTGAGTTATAACTTTATTTTTTTTTGGGGGAACACATAGAACACATAGATCTATACGGTCTCGGTGATTAACTCCCCTCCAAAACATTCTACATTCTACATAGCCTTTTGAAAAATATTAACTTGTGATACAGTATAATTAAAAAGTTGATTATCGATTATTATGAAAAACAGGTATAACAATCCCCATCCTTCGACGATCCTTCTAATTACAGAGGACTAACACTGCTATGCTCTATGGCTAAGTTGCTGCTAAAATATTAACGCAAAAACTTAGTGAACAATTAAACATACGCGAAGAACAAGGCTTTAGCCCCAACAGATCAACGATGGACGCGATATTTATACTGCGTCAAATGGTAGAGAAATCCATAGAGTTCAGCAAGTCGTTGTTTTTGTGCTTTGTTGATCTGAAGCAGGCATTTGATAGGGTACGTCTGACAGATGTCATCAGGATCCCAAGAGACAACAATATATCTGAAACTTACTGCCGATTAATAACGTAGCTAAACACTGGGAACTCAATCAAAATTAAAACAGAAGACGGCCTTTCTGAAAATGTTCCTGTTTCTGTCGGCGTCAGGCAAGGGAACGGCCTCAGTCCTACTCTCTTTAATATCATTATGGATCAGATGATCAAAGATGTAAATTTCTTGACATTGGATACAGAATGGGTCAGAAATCCGTCGGAATTGTATGTTGTGCAGACGATGCAGTATTGATGGCAGAGAACGAGGATGACCTACAGCGACTCCTTTACCGACTAACAAATAAATCTGAACCTCTCAACATGCAGATATCCGTGGGAAAAGGCAATCAATAGTAATAACGAAAGAACCAATGAGATGCAAACTCGTAGTTAACAACCAAACAATTAACCAGTGTTCCAATTTAATTACTTGGGTGTGAATAGCTCTGGCAACAGAAATATCTCAGACGAAGCAAGGGTCCAAACAAAGCAGCACGAATATCTGGCTACTTAAGAGATACCATATGGAGAAATAAACTTATGTCAAGAGGAACTAAAGTTCGCATATACAAGACTTGTGTTAGACCAGTTCTTACCTATGCTAGATAGACAGCTTCAGTCGAAACATTAAAAGCAAGAGAATACTTAGAACAACAGAAATGAAAATATTAAGAACAATACGCGGAGTCACTCTAAGAGATAGAAGCGAAACCACGACATCAGAGAGGACTGAGAGTGCAAGACATAGTGAGGCGGGGAAGATCAAGAAGGCGTCATTGGGAAGACCATGTTGAAATAATGGACCATGATAGAATAGCAAAATACAAGTACCCAGACCACCTGGTAGGCCACCAAAAAGATGGTACGAAAGTTGGACATCCGATTCACAGGAGGCTTAAATAGTTGTTTTATACAGGGATAACCCTATTGCAAGAAGGATAAGAAGATTATCAAGCGAGCTATGACGTTTACAGTTAAAAATTTTTAGGCTCGTATTTATAGTCGCGTCTCGAATCTGGGTCTCAGAAAAGACCGATAAAAATAACAGGCTTACTAGGCGCTTGAATACGGGCGACGAAACGTAAGCCTCTTAGTAAGCCTGTTATTTTTGTCGGCCTTTTGCATCTCGGGACCTTTGAATAAGAAGACTAAGGAAGGAGCATAATGCTATCCATGTATCCATGCATTGTAGGCGGAAAAGCCACCATAAAAGCTCTCTAGGGTGGGGATCCTTGACAGTTCTGTTTGACGATTCATTTGACACATTTGAATTTGATTTGAAATTTTGTGGATTTGTCAGTCTTTACGGAGCTTATTTTATGTTATTTATTCTACTACTGATAGTTGTATAAAGGTAGTCTAAATCTAGATAGAAATTGTGGCAGAACTTAAATTAACAGTGACACTATCGTGATTTATCGAAAAAGACTCTAAAATAGTTGGTTGTGTAGCGTGCGGTAGATCTCGGCAAAAATTGAGTGAAATAATGGAACAATTTTTCGCTAGTAAGTGACAATATAATATACATACGTGTAGTAAACCGATCAGTTATGAAATTCACTTAAATTAACTAAATTATATATTTTTCTTGCATTTTAGCTTTTATTTATTACTTGTCAAAGATTAGATGTCAAAGAATTTAGATACGTTAATTTGACTTACCTGCTTCAGTAGCGTATCGGATGTTTGTGTATAATATGATAAATACTTATTATAACTTATCTATTTTTATTAGAATTATATACTTTTATAACAATTTTAATAACTACCAACATTTATTCACAACGTAAAATAAAACAACAAATTATTGAGTCTACCCCACGTCTACCCTACATCATAGTTTTACATTTTTTTAAATAAAATTAGAACGACACTGATAAACCGGAATTTAAGTCGGCCATATTTGAGGCCCATCGCGGTGTACCTAAGATTTTTGATATGCTCCTTCCATAGTCTTCTTATTCAAAGCTCGGGACTGGAGTCGCGATTTGAAACTCAACTATAAATAAGGGCCTTTCCCACAAAAATTGTTTATGCTGTCAATGTCCAAAGAATACTTCACCATAATTTTTTGTACAGTTATATTATTGTAAAAGAAATTGCAAAATCTAAGCAAATATGAAAAAATGCTATTTAAAATTATTATTTTGGGCTGGATACCATTTTCGGTTTAACTGGAAGTGATATTACTAATTTTGAAAGCAAAATAAAATTTTGGGAATTTTATATTGAATCGAGGCAGCCAATTAATTGGATAAAAAAATATAAAATAGCAATATGTAGCATGATTTAGCTGTGACCAGCTATAACGGACAATAAAGTTTAAACAAATTATCGAAAAATATTCAAACTTACTTCTTCATTTAAAAGATCATCATCACTTGTCTCATACATACTATATCTTTTAATTATATCTGCTTTCCGTAAAATACCCTTGGGTAGTGGTGGCCGTATAGGTACACTTTCTTGATGCTGCAAACTGACACATTTAGGCAGACATGGAGGTGTGGTTGTTATACAGTGTTTTTGTCTGTCACTATTAACGAGACTTGCTTCTGAACTTGTTACACTATCGTATCGATAAACAAAAAGTGGGTTAAGATTGTTTTGGTATACAGGACTATTTTGCGAATCAGTTAATATTGTTGACGATCCTCGATATCCACTAGAAGGTTGAGTGGCAGTACTAGAACTGCTTGATATGTTTGTATTATTCATATCACAACTCATCGGTCTCCTCTTAGATCTCATAAACGTCGGTTTCTCTCTCAAATTTACTTTAACGTGACTTGATAATTCTGGTACATCTGACAAAATTTTTCGATATTCTTGAGGGAGAAGAATGTTTAAGGAATCCCAGTCTTTGACATGACTAAATCCATTTCTCTTAAGCGTTTCAATATCATTGAAACTAAAAGGTCTTCTGCGATCGAACGATACTTGTGGAGCTTTTTGGGGAACCAGAAACATATTTGTAATATCATTTTTGTCACTTAAAAATCCAAGATCTGGCAGAACATAATTAGGATATAAAACATAAACCGGTTTCTGAACTTCTCCCTCTTTTTTAAGTGTGTTTAGAAATGACGGTTCTACTAGCTTAACACGCTGTTTTGTATTTGAAAAGGAGGATTTGGTAGCATTTTTAAGATTTGTTATTTCAGAAAATTGAGATGTCTGAATACTTCTATCAAGAAGTTCGCTTTTAGTACCTAAGAACATTCTAGGACTTGAAATCTTTGGTCTCTTCTTAACAGAAAAACTGTCATTGTTGTTTAGATTTTCCGATTTTTTAGACTCGTTTTCAAAACTTTCATTGACTGATTCAATCTTGCTAATACTCTCTGAAAGTTGTTCTACTGATTCGCTTTTAGATAATAAATCTTCAGGTTCTTCAGCTATGAGATCATATGTTCGCACACTACTATCACTAATTTTTTGGTCACTGTTAAACTCATGATTTTTAGAATGGTCATAATTTTTGTCAGACAAAGAGCTCTCTACTGACTGGATTCCTGGCCAGTTTTCGGATGAAGATAATTGATCCATTGTAGTTGACATGCCTAATAATAATGTTATCATTATTGATACAGAGTCGTCCAAAAGGTTGCAAGAGTACCATATGATCAAAAATAACGGTGCCAGAGTTGGCACAGAAATAAAGATAACTATCACTTTCTACTAAGCCATCTAGACGCCGTTTTTTTCTACCATACGGCATTTACAATATATTTATTTGACATAAAACAAATTAATAAAAATATAAATGTTACCTTCTTGACTAAGACTCTTTTGCTTCATGAACAACTTTACTAAACTAAAATTTGGTTGTTTATTATTTGAACTTTCGCAACTGCTAGCATCAACTGAAGTTGCCATATCTGAAATCCATCCACTGCCGCTGGTATTTTGAGTTTGATGGTGAATATCAAAAACTTTAACGGAACGTCTCTTAATTGTAGTATCGGTCTAAAAATTAACAAAATTAATAAACATCGATAAAGTACTAAGTCTTTAAATATATTTAACATCTTAATGATTTTGTTTCAAATTTAGTAATATCTATACAGATTGTTTCAAAAAACATGTAGTGCTATTTCTCTTATGCAGGTTTTTTCATCGCGTAGAAATAAGATTTATGTTTTATATCAATATAGGACCGATTCTGCTTCATTTCGTAGCTACAGGGAGTTAAAGTCTTATTTTTTGTTCGATTTATTATAATTTTATCCAAGTGCTTTTAAAGATTAGAATGGAATTTTGAGGGTAAAAATTAATATAAGTGCGACATATTTTAATGTCAAAAAAGTGTTAACATAATCACCAGGGACGTGAGTATGGGTCATCACTGGAATATTTTTCTAAAAAAACACGTGCGCCACTGACTCTTATTTTTCTTGTTAGTAACAAGAGGGCTAAAAATTGTGTAGACCGTTTAATGGGGATTAAAATTGTCTCTAGATATTTTGTCGACTTCGGTATCCTTGATGAGATAAACGCAATTTTATTATTCACTGATTCCTCCTCAAAAAATATTAAAAAAAGTTCCTATAAGCATGGGTGCGCAAACATTAATAATTTTAAAATTACAGGACCTTAAAACTTTCCAAAAATAGGTACTTATTTTGTAATTATATCTTAAAAACCATTTTTTTTTTAATTTCCTGTAAATAGCACTAAAAATCAGTGTGATAAATTTTAATAATAAATTAGATTAAATAAATGATTTATTAATTTTATTTTAATTTTAACATTATTGATTGTGATTAAAAAAAATTGCGTTATCTCATCAAGGAGATCGAAATGGACAAAATATCAAGATATGACTTTTAATCGGCATTAACGGCCTTCACAATTTTGGTAATACATACATATACATACCGCCATTACTCGCTGACGAGTATTTGACACGCATCAGAAGATGGCCACGCAGGGACTTTTTTTCATGGGCTTTTCTGTGACTGAAAAGCCCGATACGTGATGTTATCTGTCTACCTCACTCCAGATATTCAAAAATCTCATTGCTTTGTTGCCTCTTTACTTTTTGGTTGTCGCTCTTAATTAACTTTACAATTCTTCTCCATTCCGTTCTATTGTGAGCTGCCTCTTCCCACTCATTCTGCTTGTTAAGTCCCTTTAAGTTTTCTTGAAAAATATCCTTGAACCTTTTGAGTTGTCCACCCGGCCTTCTCTTACCGTCTACAAGCTCACCGTAAAGCAGAGACTTTGGTATGCGGTTTTCTTGCATTCTGCATACGTGACCAGCCCATCTTAAGCGGGACTTTATAATCATGACTTCAATACTCTCGCAGTTAGCTTTTTCAAGGACCGATACGTTTGAGACATGATGGAACCATTTTATTCTTAAGAGTTGTCTAAGATGTCTCTGTTGCAACTTGTTTAATGCGTTCATGTGTCGGCGGTACGGCACCCAGGTTTCGCTTCCATATAACATGGTGGGAATTATTATCGCTCGGTACACCGCAAGTTTCGTTTTTGTGCTCAAGTCATGATTGTAGAAAACCCTGTCTTTTAATTTCCAGAATGCTCTTGAGGCGCTGCTAATCCTGTGCTGAATTTCAGAGTCGATATTGGCCTTTTCCGAAATCAAACTGCCGAGGTAATTGAATTTCGCTACATATTCCAACAGCTCATCTCCGATTTTTATAGCATTGTTGTGATCTTCCGGGGGAGTGCACATAATTTTAGTTCTATCGATGTTCAGCTTAAGTCCCAAGGCCTCGTATGCCCATGTATATGTGTTCAACATTTCTTGCAATTGCTCTAACGTATTTGCAACTAGAGCACATAGCACAATTTTGGTAATAAGAGTCAGTGGCGCACATGTATTTTTTACAATAATATTCCAATAATAACTTATATGCACGTCCCTGGTGAATCTATCCATACTTTTTTAGCATTAAAATATGTAGCACTTTTACCCTCAAAATTTCATTTGAATCACTAACAATGCTTAGGAAAATTATGAAAAATCTAAAAAAAATGAAGACTGTAACGCCTTGCAGCTACGAAACAAAGCAGAATCGGGCCTATGTTGATATAAAAAATAAATTTTATTCTTACATGAGAAATCTCCCCACGAGAGATGGCCCATGTTTTTTGAAACACCCTGTATAATGATGAATTATAAAATAAAATATGTTCTTGGACTGACAATGTCTTTAATTTTGAAATTGTATAAAATATTTCGGTCAGATGTTATTTCATCATAATGCTTAAATTAAGATATCATAATGCTGCATCATAATGCTTTAATTAGAACTTTTTGTAATATTATTTACTACAACGTTTCCATTTGGTTTTGCAATGATTGTTGCAAGAGCTTGTTTACAAATATATAAGACTCATTGCTACAACAAAACCTGAATTTTTGATTAAACTAAGTAACAGCAGGTGCATGCATATCAGTTGATAATACATTTACCGTGCTACAATTTTGTAGCAAAATTTACTGCTCGATTTTTTTCCGTGTTTATAATTACTAATAATTATTACCTTTGATAATATTAAGCTGCTTAATATTATTAAGTAGTTGTAGGTAGTCGAAGGTAGAAGATGGGTAGGTCGAAAGAAACTGTCATGATTCAGAAATATACGGAACTGGACCGGTCTCGGGGTGGAGAGGCTGTTTCATGCAGCAGAAAATAGAGAACTCTTCCACGAAATAGTCATGGAAATCGCCAACGCCTGAAGACAGGCACGGCACCGCAAGAAGAAGAATATTATTAAAGGTAATAATTATTAGTATAAACACGGAAAAAAATCGAGTAAAAAATGTTGTATTAAAATTTGCTTATGGTTGGTTAATAATTGAAACCGTTATCGAACAGGTTGTGACAATTTTATAAAGTCATCATCAGAAGAGAGAGAATGGTGGACGCGTCCAGACGTGTATGTGTGTGGAATTTGTGATCGTGCTGTAAAGGCAAATCAAACATATCAGTAGAGTGCGCTACATGTGCTTGGGTCCACAGGGGATATTACGGTCTCGGAAAAGTGGAATATGACAAAATTGTTGCCAAATTTTGGAAAAATAAGACTCATAAGTGGGACTGTAAACAGTGCAAGGGAGGACTGAGGATAGTTTCTAAATGCGAAAATTTTCTCTGTAATAAGTATGTTGTATTAGTTAAGAGCGTATTGTAGTAATTATTACTGTAAAAATATTTAAGAATTCCCAATAAGCAATTTAGATTTCATTACAATTTGTAGTTTTGGTTAAGATCGAAGATGTAATTTTTACTAGAATGGAACAGATATACTGCCGACATGCAGATTACATATTTTACTACAATCTTTGAGGAAGTATTACTTGATATGCAGTTTATGATCCTAAATACTTCCATATTAAAACATTCTACAAAACTATGAACTGCTTCTGCAAACTTTTTAACTACAAAAAATAGTAAATATTGCTACAACTTTTAATTGGCCCATATACTACTGCAGTTTGCAATAGAGTTATTCACATTTTTTTCGGAATTTATTGAATATTTACTTACGGAAGAATTACTATCACTTTTTGTTCCTATATTGATGAGATTCTTTAATTTTTGTTTGTATAAATTAGGCATACTTTGACTTTTTAAATTGGTATCACTCAGGGCTAAATGACTTGTTTCCTCTTCTGAATCATTATTATTTCCTGAAGGCCTCCTTATATGATTCTCGCTATTTTGTTTCTGTAAAAAAACATTAATATAGTAATTCAGATAATTTTACCTACTTTAAAAAAATACCTTTAGTTTACTCCAAGTTGTAAAACTACTTGAATCTGATTGTGTCATAGAACCATCTACCAGTTTATTCAAATTCTGCTTTTGTATTTTTAAATCCAAGATTACACTACCGGACTGATTGGTATTTGTGTTGGAACTCTTATCTTAAAAACATAATATTTGTTAGAATAAATTTCTAAATGGTCCGAATTGAAAACGGTACAGAAATAAATTAACTTGTTTATTTTTCCCTCCCTGGTAAATTATCAAAGATCTATTTACTCATAGATTTAGTCACTGATATAGAGAAAATGCGGGTTATATAATGAGTCACTAATGTTATTATGTTGAATAGGTCTACTTAAATATTGAATTTTTTACCTTGTATTGGCTATTTTAAAATTTTAGAACACCTGAATATTTGATAAAAATATACAAGATGTAAATAAAAAAATATATTAGGCTACTTAAAAATCATTCTTAAATACCTGTTTCGTGAAAATCACTATCTTCACTGTACATGGTAACTGATCCTTCAAATGCAATAGTATAATTATCTTTGTTAGCTTGACATGTTAGCATCATATCATGGAGGTCACAATCCAATGAATCTACTGAAAAATTTGCACCAGGCATAGGACATTCCCTTACTGGACTAAAAAGAAGCTCCGATTTACAGATAGACATAGAATTTGAATTTGCCGAACAATCTTCTCCCTATAATAATATGAAAACAAAATTAGTAAGGTACATAATTTTGTAAATTAACACGATACCAAAGTGATTAATAGACAATTTACAAGAAACAAGAATTAATTTGATAATATGTAGATATATTAGGTTTTATTCGGTAGGAAATGATTATGATTAATGATCAGAGTTGGGCATCGACGCGTCGACTTTTATTGTCGACCCCCTCGATACGTCGACAATACGCCGACTATGAAGTAAATGTCGATAATGTCGAGAATTCTACAGGCGCAGGTTTGAGGTTAGGTTTGTCATTAAAATGGAAGTGATTAATTCACCATTCCCACTTAGGCTATCCTGTAGTCGAAACATAATATTGATAGCGAATCTGTATTGGGGACAGACCAAGATCAGATTAGATGATGATTAATATTCTGAAAATATACAAATACGAGGTATGCGTCAGGGATGCATCTTGTCTCCCCGCCTTTTCAATTATATAGTGAAGCCATCTTTCAAGAAGCTTTGGAAGAGGGAGATGAGGAAATCAAAGTGGTCAATGAATCAACAATATCAGATATGCTGACGATACAGTAGTAATGACAGACAATAGTGAAGATCTGCAGAACCTACTTCAAAGGATAAATGTTTCCTGCAAACAATATGGGCTGAATATGAATTTGAAGAAAATAAAATTCATGATTATAACAAAAGACCAAAATGTATAAATACTTCAATAAAATTATATAACAGTTTCTTGCTTTGAACTGCTAATATAGATTACAGTTGAGGGTTGGAACCTTTGGTGTTACACAGCAAAATAAAATTACACTAAATCACCACAATACACCAAAACACTTTTACTTTTACACGGGACGCGCGTTTCGCTAACCATGTCAGCATCATCAGCAGATGATTATAAACTAAACTATCAGGCCAAAGTTTATAATCATCTGCTGATGATGCTAACATGGTTAGCGAAACGCGCGTCCAGTGTAAAAGTAAAAGTGTCTTGGTGTATTGTGGTGATTTAGTGTAATTTTATTTTGCTCCTAATATAGAAATTAATTCCACGCTGTGTTCGTCATAATGTGGATCAACCTGCTCTCACTACCGGTTTCGGGGCCCTACCCCATCATCAGGTGAGCTTGGGGAGCTTATTTCCACAAAACGACGAGCACAGCGCAGAATATATAAATACGACTTGTCGTAAAGTAGCGGTAAGATATTAAGTCCCGCATCGCGAGATAGCGGCCTGCATGCAATGATAGTACTTTCGTACCACCGAGGCACAACTATCGATAGTAAATAAAGGCTTTTTTCGGCTAGCCCAAAATATATAATGGAAAATAAATTTCTTGCAGTTTTTAGATATATAATAAAATTATATAAGAGTTTCTTGCCTTGAATTGCTAATATAGAAATTAATGATGATGGGATAGGGCCCCCAAACCGGTAGTGAGAGCAGGTTGATCCACATTATGACGAACACAGCGTGGAATTAATTTCTATATTAGCAGTTCAAGGCAAGAAACTCTTATATAATTTTATTATATACCTAAAAACTGCAAGAAATTTATTTTCCATTATATAAATGCTTCAATAGTAATACACAGCACGCAAATAGAAAAAGTCCAACACTAGAAATGCTTGGACACAATAATAAATGAAACCGCCGAACAATTGCAAGAAATAAAGTCTAGGATTGAGATTCTCAATCAGGCCTAAAAAATTCTTTTTTAAAACTAAAGTAATTTCTTTGCAGTTGTAGTAGAGATATAAAATTAGATTTAAGAATAAGAATGCGATGCTACGTGTTTGCGACCTTATTATATGATACCGAAGCGTAGACCTATAAAACAGCCGAAATTAACAAAATGTGGTGTTATCGTCACATGTTAAGGATTTCTTGGGTCGACATGCAGAGTTACAAATATCGAGATGTTACGCCGTATGAACAAGGAAGAAGAAATACACAAAACCCTTAAGAGGAAAAAATTGGAATATTTTGCACGAGCTCCTAATTACCAATTACTCCAGAATATTATGGACGAAAAAAAATAAGTAGGATGTAGTCGGGGCAGAAGACAAACATCCTGGTTGAAGAACCTCAGAGAATGGTATGGAATGATATCAAATGGATTATTTAGAGTAGCCGCAAATAAAAATAGCCATGATTATAGTCAACCTCCGTTAGGAGACGGTAGTTGAAGAAGAAGAAGGCTATCCTGTGGTAATAGCGGTAGTTATTGTTTTTTTTTTCAATTAATTGCAGTAAATTAGGCTACATTCGACTTTATGTATGAGTAGTACTGCTAAATCTTTTAACATTTTTTTACTTTTAGTTAATAAAGAAACACTAACACTTTTTCATGAATATTTGCAACTTTATTGTTCGGGATACAATCACCTCTTCGACTGTCATTTGAACCATGTCATAAATGTAGGGTCACTTTTATATTTTACTCTCCAAAGTAAGCATAGTGAAAGGAATTTTAATTCTGTTATTTGTGATTCTGGTTCAGCATTCAAGCCACTCAGCGAAATTAAAAAACGTTTTATCATATCTTATGCTTAGCTGAGAATGTTTATTCTATGTTCCTAATAAGGGTTTATTCTATGGGTTCAAGTTTTAATCATATAAGGTTTTACCACAATACATACACCAAACACTTTACTTTTGCATTGGACGCGCGTTTCGCTAACCATGTTAGTATCATCAGCGGATGATTAAACCTCAGTGTAAATCATCTACTGATGATGTTAACATGGTTAACCAAACGCGCGTCCCGTGCAAAAGTAAAGTGTTTTGGTGTATTGTGGTGAATTAGTGTCTTATTTTGCTGATGTAACACCAAATTGCCTAACAGTGCTTTCAGATGGAGCGGACCGTCCGCGACTTCGAGCAAGTACCATGAGTGTATATGAATAATTTCACATGGGTCGCGTATGCTCCGTCCGGATGACGGCCATATACATAAACACATATAAGCAGATAGTAGTATCGAGTGACTCGATACTACTATCACCTGCCCTCAACTGTAATTAATTATAGCTATAATTTATAATATTAACCAAATTATTTAGCTCTCGACATTGACGACGGCACTTAGGAAGTCCACATCGACATTCTTGACATCGCCCAACTCTGTTAATGATGGATTGTAGAAATTGCTTCTAATATAGATTTGAAGAATAGTGATTTTATACATATGCATACCTGTGAACTACTATGTGGACTGATAAAACTATCTAAATCAAACTTTCCCATCATAGAACCAGAAACTTCGGCATACGATTCGCCTTGTCTATTAGTCTACAAAAATATTAAAAAGTTTTAAACTGTCTTCTAAACCCCTTGATAACCCTTTGATTTATGTAGGTTATTCTTAATTATATTTACATTCAAATTTAAACAAAAAAGTGAATTCTTATCTCAAGTAAGGTTTGACCTAACTATTCTATAAAATAAGACTATATTTACATCCACCATTTAAAAAAACATACTTTAACTTAGGAAGGAAGGAAATATTTTATATAAACCGCATCAGCTGCTGAATTGCTGCCTTCCGGCTTTAATAGTACGGGAAATCAACTAGATAGAATACTTGACATTGACAGAATACATGACTGGAGTATGTACTAGCTTATGTATTTAGTATCGGTGACCATGTGCAGCAAATAATCCTTTTAAGGTCAGCCACCAGATCCACAACTAGCTTCTACGTCCCACTAGTCAACTCAGTTCTGCACGTGCATAAACGATAATCGGTCGGGTATTTCGCGTGCAATCTAAACAAAAAAAACTTACCCCAGAAACTAACTAATCCAAATAAAACAGGTCTACGCCTACGGCGTATTTTGACTGCTATTACATATTTCAGCTATTTTTAGACAATAAAAACCGCTGTAAAAAAATTAAAAGAAATTGGTTTGGGTGTATCCCAACCCTGGGAGCTCTATTCCCGAAGCGACGACGGCCTCACACACGGAGCCATAGCTGTTCTTGCAAAATTGACTATAGCTAGGCGTTACTTAAATTATTTCCGTCGTTCTTAAAACCGTTCATAAAATAATGCGACAGCAAACGGCAACATTGTTGGGTATGCGAGTTGACTAGTGGGACGTAGACGCTTCTTGATATTACATGTCGCAGCGACCAAGCTGTGACCGCTTGGGCCTGGACCATGATACTAAGAATACAAGGTATGATATTGCGCAGGTTGGTCACTACGTCACAGGTGATAAACGGCACCATTGGTCGGCAAGCTCTGCGCGCCAATTTCAAATTGTCAAACAGATTGTGTCATCTGTGAAATTTGATTGTGTCAAAATGTGAAAATAATTTTTCAAATGTCAAGCTCGATGTCAAAACCATAACTTTTGGGGTTATGTCCTAATTCTTCCCTATTTTAGGTCTTTTTTTATTAGTGGCAATTGAACAATATGGATATTTTTTTGTATGGCGTATGACGTCACAGGTGGTATGCGCAAACTTAACGAAATTGGAGCCGCTATCGATCATACCTTGTTTTCTTTGTACCATGGGCCTGGACGTTAGTACGCGTTGTATCATTTGATTGGTGGCCGTCGCTGCGATCTGGTCGTCAGTGCATTTGACCCCTTAAAACAATTTATTTTTCTTTTTTACTTCTTACCAGCCATAGTGTGGTCTATTATTTCAGACCTTGTTGTCTCTATTGGTTGACCAAGACAATGTTTCAATATAACTACCTAGCTGAGACTATATCAAATGATTTAAATGCCTAACAGCGCTTTCAGATGGAGCGGACCGTCCGCGACTTCGAGCAAGTACCATGAGTGTATATGAATAATTTCACATGGGTCGCGTATGCTCCGTCCGGATGGCGGCCATATACATAAACACATATAAGCAGATAGTAGTATCGAGTGACTATTGAGAAAGAACATCTAGGAACTAGTGGGGTTGCATAAACAGATATACAGGTTGTTAATTTGTTCATTACTCGCGGCAAGAGCTTTATGGTTGAAATATGGCAACCTCGGCCCGCTCGTCGATAGATGACGCGACGGGACGAGTCGGCAGAAAAATCAATAATGCATGCGTTCTCAATAGGCAGTGTTGCCATTCTGTTCCCCTATAAGCAACTGTCCAGTTAACAACCTGTATACTTAGTATAAAAACTCGCGGACGGTCCGCTCCAACTGAAAGCGCTGCGCGCTGTTACGCTGTTCATTTTTCATTATATAAAATATATTAAACCGTGTACTTACTTCCTGACTTAAATGATCCGTACACATGGGAGGCAAGTTAGTTAGCAAATCTCGTATATCCTCGGTTTTAAAACTTTCCATGTCAGCTTCAGCAAGATTAGCGTCCATGTTTTTGGCCAAAGCCTCGTAATAGTTGTCGCCTGCATCGTATGTTTCCGGTAATGATAATATACTAGTATGGTGATTCGAACCTCCATCTCGATATCTAGAAAAATATAGAATATTAACAATAATGATCGACGAAAAAGGCGATAAATTGGCTCGGAAATGACAATCGATATCATTCACCTAAAAATTTCACAGCGATTGTGATTTTCAAGCCAATTCGGGCACTGTTTTTTAGGGTTCCGTACCAAAAGGGTAAAAACGGGAACCCTATTACTAAGACTTCGCTGTCCGTCCGTCCGTCCGTCCGTCCGGTCCGTCCGTCCGTCTGTCACAAAGGTCTATCTTATGAAGCGTTATAGGTAGACAGTTGAAATTTTTACAGATAATGTATCTATTTTGCCGCTATAAGAACAAATACTAAAAACAGAATTAAATAAATGTTTATAACTAAAAAAGTACTTTCACTAAACATTATCTTTTAAGAATTTTACATAGAATCTTTCAAGTCCTCGGTGGCCGCGTGGTTAAAGCGTTAGGACTTTACGTTGCTATGACGTTGGAGCCGTAGTAAGGCAGGTTCGAATCCTAGTCAAGGCGACTTTTTTTTAATCGTTTTTTTTAATTTTTACATACTTATTTTTACTTTTTACATATTTACTATTAATTAATACAATTTTTAGTAATGTGTTTCATAATTTTTTTTAAATTACTTATAAGGTAAACGTACCAATTATCGGCATCCTAAGGACGTTGTCGAATCTTGATGTGACCGAATATACTATAGAAAACTCATAATGATTACCAATGCGATTTTTTCGATAGTTCTAGTCACATTAGATACTAGAGAATAATATAAAAAGAGTAAAATGTCTAAAAGATTTACCTGTAAGTATTTCTTTTAAAAAAATACAAAATATCTCCGTGTAGGTATCATCGGCACCCAAAAAAATGCAACTGTTCTAGTCTTCGGCACCTGGAGTAACCTATTATCGGCAGCGCATTAGGAGATGTACTTTTTACATAAAATCAAATAAACCTGGTAGAAATTTATTAAGAAGATAAATATTTAAAAATAACACCAAAAAAAAACATTCGTAAAAACCTGAGAATACTTTCTTTGGTATCGGCAAAATTACTTAGGTAGGTACTTATTTAGTTACTTACTTAATTAAGGAATCTTAAAAACTAAGTAATTCAAAAAAACGAAACTAAAAGTAAACTCTTTGGAAAAATTAAAAACAATAATTTAAATTAGTAAGTGTCACAAACTGGACAAAGGAAATCTTCTTTATCGTCTTTGGTTAATCCAATACACTCTTCGTGGTAATATTTATAGCAACCGGAACACAGACGCATCGCAATTTGTCGATCTGAATCACATAAAGAACAGTACCATGTCTCGGTAGTTTCTGATGGTGGCGGGATGGCAGGGTTTTTCTTAGGAGTATTTTTTTTAATCCTTTTCGCTTCCTTTTTCTGATTACCTCTCTTACGTACAGAAACATCATTCTTGGCTTTTTTCTTTTTATTTTCATTCTCAACAGATTTCTTTTCACGTTCTAATTTTCTTTTCAGTTTTAGTTCTTCTTCTTGCCTTTTCTTTCCTTCCTTTTTTTTCAAAATATTGCTGCCACTGTAAAGATGTCGTCACAGCAGGGATTTTCTTTCTTTGCTTTCGTGTTTCTTTTTCGGTTTTAGACTCAGGCCAGAAGAGGGATTTTTTAAAAGGTGTGGGTATGCATGAACTATTTTTAATTGTGAAAAATTCATAGCGATTAACGGTGGTTTTGCGTCAGTTTGATTTTGTTCTGGGGTCATCATCGGGGGTATTATTAAGGATTTGACAGGCGTTGAATGTCTGCCAATTGATCCGTATGTTTGTTCTTGTACATCGTCGTCATTTTTTCCATGTTCTCGGAAGGCACATTTGGAATGTTCCGGTATGTTTGATCCCGTTCATTATCATCGTTTTCTTCTATGTTTCCGATAGACACATTTGAAATCTTCGAGGTCAAAAGTTCGTATATTTGATCCCTTTCCTTATCACCAGTGTCTTCTAAATTTTTAATAGGTGAATTTCGGGTGTTCGCGATTAAAGGTAGTGGCGATTCAAGTTGAAGATCATTGGTAAAATCGAAAATTATTGGGAGGCTCAAATTGTCAACATTTATCAGTCCAGTGATGTCAAGGTCGTCGATGTTTTCCTTTTGTCCATTCATCGTGTTAATAAGATCTGAACGATCAAGGTTTGAATCATTCTCAATCTCAATAACATTACTTTTCTCATTGAAATTATTTTTTCTATTATCGAATTCAGTTCGCGCTATTACTTTTTTCCATATCATAAAAAGGCTTGTATGTTCAATAGCTCCTTCCCATATCTCTCCAGATTGTTTAAACGATACTAAAATTTCTGATGGAATTTCTTCTTCTAATATCTCCAAAACTGAACCTTGACCTTTCTGCTTATCCTCTCTTTCCCGCTGTTGTTCACTAGTGTCTTGCGATCCGCCCGCCTTATCCTTGTCCTTAAAATATTTCGAAAACTTGATATTATCAGCACAAAAAGGAATTAAACCACATGTTTTAAAACCATTTCTAACAACATCTGCAAAATTACTCATTTTGTTTAAAGTTGTTTCTAAAATCATGGCAAACACGTCTTTTGTGATCTTTTTCCCATTGTTTTCCAACCTCCAGCGGTGTATACCTTTTTTCCATTCCATCTTTAAAGGTCGGCCACATCCAGAGGCTGCAGAATATGGGTGGCGTTAGAGCAGAGCGATATTAAAATTATATTTGCTTTGGAGCAAAATTGACTAAGCGTTAAAGATAAATGAGAGGTGTGGCCGTCTAAGAACAGGATTACAGGAAGAGGAATATTTTCAGCAATTATCCAAAGATAAAAAATATTGGCGATATATTCGTAGAAAGTCCCGGCCGTCATCCAACCACTGTCAGATTTTCCAATGGCCCAACGTTGAGGAAAATTATCTGTAATAGATTTGGGAATCCGTTTATAATTAAAAACAACCATTGGAGGAAGAATCTTTCCGGATGCACTGCAGGTAATTAACGTTGTAAGACATTCTTTATCATCATTATTCGAAAACGAGTAAACTGTTTTCTCCCCTTTTCTCACTAACACTTTGTCACCCTTAGGGCACAAGAAGAATGCGGTTTCATCGCAATTGAAGACACGATTGGAGTTCAAAGTTATGTCGAAATTATTGGAATCTTTCAGATAGGTTTCCACTTCTTTAAACCAATAGCGAATTCTGTTTTCATTTAGGATGGCTCTTGAGCCAGATAGATTTTGTGGAATTCTTGTGGTGAGCTCCGGATGTCTTTTTAAGAATAACTCATACCACTTGCGTCCCGGTCGACCATCTGTGAATTTATTCGTCCGACCTAATTCTTTCAGGAGGAGCTGAACGCTATCCAAAACTTGTTTTTTGTCGCAGGAAACCCACGTTTTGATATATCGAATAGCCACTGAACAAGCAAAGACTCTTCTGGTTCCGTGAGGGTAGTTTCTGGACCGCATTTTTTTCCCAACAACGTTCTGCCCTTGACTTTATCTTGCAGAGTTGCTCTAGGAACGTTATACTTTTTGCTAGCGGTTTTAACAGGCATTCCTGCCTGAACGGCACCAATAGCTTTATTTAAAGCTTCAGAAGAATAATTCAATCGTTTTTTCTTATCCATGCTATTAGTAAGCTGAAATGAAGAAAACCAATTATCAGCACTAGTATGCCCGCATTATCGGCACCCTTATTGAAAGTATATGAAATTTATAATCTTACCGAATTTTGGTGCCGAAAATTGGTATAAAGGAAATTAGGTCTTTTATATAAATAAAAATCACACCGAATTGACAATTCCTTTGTAAGAAATAGAAAAATAGGCCTTATTCGGATAGCGTACATTTCACCAATTAACGGCACCTATGCCGAAAATTAGCGCAAGAGTCTTTTTGGTGTTCCTATTATCGGCACCGGTATAAATCAAAAATTATGAATAATGTGACACTTATTATTACTTGAATAATGTGACACTTATTATTACAACACATATATTGAACCCACAAAATATATAGGACAACTTTTAAAGTCAATATCAGCATTTTAAGTATCAAAAATATGATGTTTCACTTTACCTGTTTGTAAACACACACACGAAGCACAAGTTGCCGCCAAAGCAAGACAAAAACTGACAGGTCTAAACTAATTATTTTTCACGTGTTGCAATGTCGGTTGATCGACAGGTTGAGTAGTGGGGGTAGAGTCAGGTTGTACCAGAATGCAAGAGATGTCGCATAATGTATAAATTGGACCAATTTCTTGTTTTTGAATAAAATTCGGGCTCTGTGCCGATAATTAGCGCACTGCCGATAATTGGTACGTTTACCTTACGCGCATTCAAAATTTCAGCTAAATCGGAAAAAAAGTTTATAATAATATAGTGTCTAATGTTGTATAGATAATGAATGGTACGGAACCCTTCGTGCGCGAGTCCGACTCGCACTTGACCAATTTTTTTATGATCGTTTAATATGTACCGGGTGGACAACTAAGAAAGGACGCCGGCGCCGGCTCAGAAACTACTTATCGTATAACTTTGGGAAAAAAATGTAATAAGTAAATCGACCAAGAGAAATCGCTATTATATATATAATTATTTTCAAGTTTGAAAAATGTCCGCTGGAATTTTTCACATAGAGGGCGCATCTGTGATGGCCAATCATGACACAGGATTTTTCTCAAAAATATGCAGCGGAAGAGGTATTTTAAATATTGCTATTGTAATCAATGAGAAATTTGTATTTTTTTGATATAGCGTATTTTCATCTATCTCATAAAATAAAGTGGTGGGAGGAGGTTAAACTTGCTTTTATTAAAATAATGATAACTTTGGTTTGAGTTAGCCGATTTAAACAAACTAGGGCTCGTTTAGAAGAGCTTTTCCTTCTTAATAATCTCCAGTATAAATTTTGTTTCCCTAGATTTATCGTGATAGCTAGAGGGCGCTATTTGACATCATAACAAATATTGCGTTTTTGCATAAAAAATTAAATAGCAAGTTATATTTCTTTTT